TGGAAATTCAGGATGCAAGGCACATAGGAGGTCTTCAAAACATTCATGGAAAATGAGTATTATTCTTAAAACTACATGGATCTCCATTTTTTTCCCCACCAAAATTAACTTGTACTTTTTTTCTTTTTTTTGAGTTTTGAGTTTTGAGTTTTGCTATAGGATGTGTGTACTCTTCAGAGACAGAGTGGGGGTGGGGTGGGGTGGTGGAATGAGAAATCACTCCTCTCAGGGAATGGCCACTGTCTCAATCCATTCTCCTCCTGGAATTTTGCACAACGCACACACACTGGGCATGACTTTTTTTCAAGCTGCCAGGTCTGGGACTCAAACTGTAGCTGTCCACGTGGGAATCCAGCACTTTAACCATCCCGCCACCTGTTGGCCTCCACATTTTCCCACAAATAAAGTCCCTTCATGTGTCTCAAACCTGATTTGGCAAGAGAAGCATTTAAGTGACTGAACTTTTAATTTGGGGCAGGGAGAGGTTTCAGTTCTACACTCTCTTCCCAGAATTATAGGATTCCCCAGAGAGGTACCAACAACTGGACCTTTCTGGGAAGTCTGAAGATCCTCCCTTGGGAGGATCCCTTAGGTTTGATTACTAAAAAGAAGGCAAAACACTACATGTTTGGGGTTTGTGCAACTTATGGAGACCTCGGGGTACAGTAGTTCATAGACAGGGTCAGATGGTTGGCCTCCTTAAGTTTCTGCTCTTTGTGGAGTACAATGATAGAATGGCAGAGTCTGAAAACACCAAAGGTCTTCAGGGGCCAGGCAGGTAACATAAGTAATGTGGCTGAGTAGGAAACAAAAGGGAAAGGTGGGGTCATACAGTAATGGGAAGCACAGGCCCATCTAAAGGAATCCAAAATCATTTAGATTTCTAGTTTATCCATCTATTTCTTCCATGAGATACACACACTCAACAGGGTCCCCCCTCTGTTATCCACCCAAGTCTCAGCCAGCTCAGATCTCAGTACATGTGTGCCTGGCATGCTCAGGAAGATTCCATGACATGAACACAGAAACCCTCCTGGGTGGGTCCACCTGTGCCACAAATGTGCCACCAGGCGGCACCTAAAATCGGTTATTTTTTTTAAGAGAGATTTTAGCAAAAATCTCTTTAGCTATAGGATGCATGCACTCACTGAATAGATGGAGAGACAGAAAGTGAAAAATTATCCCCCAGTGGGGATGACTATGCTGCAGTCCTTTCTCCTCCATTCTCCTCTTGGGATCTTGGGAATGCACGTACAAGCACCTGACGTGAGTTTCAAGCTGCTGGGTTCGAGACTCAAACTGCGGTCGACCATGTGGGAGTCCAGTGATTTAACCATTATGCCATCTGCTGGTCCCCAAATCAGTTATTAAAAAAAAAAATTGTCATTTCTTTTTTATTATTTTTTTTTTATTTAAATTTGACCAGAGAGTGACAGAGTGTGAAGGAGAGAGAGAGAGGAAAAGTTGAGAAAGCAAGCTGCCAGGTCTGGGACTCAAACCACAGTCAGTCACAGGGGAGTCCAGCGTCCCCAACCACCACGCCACCTGCCTGCCCCCAAATCAGTTATTTTTAAACAGTTTATTAAACAAAACAAACTCTAGTGGGTTTGTGACTCTTGCTGAAAGAAAAGAGGATCATGGAAAATGGAGGTTGGGGGCCATTGGATTCAGGTGTCTACTCAGGGACAGATTGAATGCTGGAAATGTCCATCTCAGAACTAAGCCTGAACATGACTGCTAGTTTGAAAGCCTCAATCTGGAGGACCTGGAGAGAGAGAAATGGGATTTGAATTAGTCCCAAGGCATGGACTACCTTCCTGTCCAGCAACTGAGAGTATTAGATGACTTTGGTTGAGGTCATGCCTTGCCCATAGCATTCTTTGCTCAGGGTGATTCAACTCTGCCCTTGGAATTATTTTTATATAAATATTTACAGAACCAATTCAGAGAGTCTGTTGGGGGAAATTATGGATTTTGAATGAGAAAGGAGTCCTAGGTTTAGTGGAAATTAAGTTCCCTTTCCTACTAAAGGGAATGAAAGACCTAGTCTAGGAACCTTAGTCCTTAGCTCCCTTGCATCTCAGTAATTCCACTCCCAGGGACATCCTCATGTGTGTTTTCTCTTTAAGAGAAAGGGGACGGGCAGACAACCCTGGCCTTCAAGCGGGGCAGGTTCAGCTTCATGGAACCAGTTAATGATAGAGGCCAAGTTCTGCCTTTGTATGTGCCCATGGGAACACACCTCCCTACCCATCCAGGTCTCACCACCCATCCCTTCTTCCTTCCCCAAACCTCATGAGAGGTTCTCTGTACCTCCTTCTTTTCCAGAACCAGAGACTGCCAAGGTGAAAGACAGTCCAGCCCTAGGAAGTAGTGCTCAGGATTAAAATGTCTGTGTATTTGAGAAGTACTGAGAAAATGAGGAATGCAGTATACGGAGTTTTGTTAAAGATACAGACTCTTACCCCTTCCCTTAAATGGCTGTTGAATGCTGAATTATAGGGGAACTTTTGATAGTAGAGTGCTTTTTTAGATCCCCAGCAATTAATCTGGAGCTCATTTTTTAGTTTTGAGGACAGAGTGTGTTTACATAAGTTAGAGTCCTAAATAGTGCTAGTAAGCATACATGGTCCAAATTTTTATGGCCTGGGCCCTAGAAGGGAGCAATGGCTGCTGACCTCTCTGGGAGGCTCCAGCATGGTTGAGGAACATGTAAATCAGAGGCTCCTAATTAAGGACTTGTCCACCAGTATCAGAAGGAACCTTACTTCAAAACCCAGTTCTGGGGCCAGCAGGTGACATGGTGGTTAAGGCATTGGACTCCCACATGGCTGGCAACGGTTTGAGTCCTGGGCCTCAAGGCTTGCTTTCTCACTTTCTCTCTCTTTCTCTCCCTGTGTGTCTCTCTCTAGTGAGAACACGTCCCCTGTAGCAAATTAAAAAAATAATAATGAGGGAGCAGCAGTTAGCATAATGGCTATGTCACTGGACTCCCACGTAGTCGACCGCAGTTCGCGTCCCGGACCCGGTGGCTTGAACTCACACCTGACACATGTGCGTGCGCACCAAGATCCTGAGAGGAGAATGGAGAAGGGATTGCGGCGTGGCCATCCCCCCTGGGGGGTGATTTCTTGCTTTCTGTCTCTCTGTCTGTCTGGCGAGCGCACGCGCCCTATAGCAAAACCCTCTCGCCCCCCCCCCAAAAAAAAAGAAAAGAAAAAAATCATAATGATAAATAAAATTAAATAATTATTTTAAGAACAAAAATTATTTATAAAAACACTGCTGCTCCTTCTGGCTTCTTGACTTTTGCAGTGCAGCTTCCTTGTCTATTAAGCAGGAATAAAGGGACCAGCAAATGGTATAATGGTTATGTCACTGGGCTTCCATGTAGTCAACCATGATTCAAGTCCCGGACCTGGTGGCTTAAAACTCACACCGTTTGCATGTACATATGTGCCCAAAATCCCAAAGAGTAGAATGGAGAAGGGAGTGCAGCATGGACATCTTCCCTGGGGAGGGGTGTGATTTCTCACTTTCTGTTTCTCTCTCTCTCTCTGTCTCTCCAGTGAACACACACACCCTAGAACAAAAATCTCTCTATAAAAAAAATTTTTTTAATAAAATGGGAACACAATGGACCCTCTCCTTATAGGGGGTTGTGATGAGTGGTTGCATGTAAATGGCAGGGTCACGTATCACAGCTGACATTTATCGAATACTTATTAAAGATTTTCTGTTAAAAAAAAAAAAGAAAAAGAAAGGGAAACAGAGGAGAGAACATCATACTGTGTCCTCCTTTGAACTCTCAAGCACTTTATCTATACTTGCCTAACAGCACATCAGTCTTCCTGGTATGTCATAGATTTGTCTTAGCTCAAGAGCAGAATCTGGGTCTTTTCATCTCAAATAGCCTACGGGGTATAGGAAGCTGTCTTGGATAAAGTAAGGGCTGAGAACAGTTTGTAGAGCCATGGAATGAAAGAACTGCAGTTTCTACTCATTATTGCCAAGGGCCTTATGTCTGCTGTCTGTTGCCTGCATTACGCTGGTTTACATACTACCGTCCTAAAGCACACTAGCCCCTGGCTCTGCTCCTGTCCCTCTCTGGCCCAAGATTCTTGGAGCCCTTCCTGTCCATTGTGTTACTCTGACATACTGCTGCCTGCCTCCCTCACCCCACGTGGAACTGATGTGTTCCCAGCTCTTGGCTTTCCCATGGTGACTTCCCCTCTCCCACTGGGGACTGATTTTCACTGACAAAAACCCACCACTACTGCTAGCCACAAGGAGAGTGGAACAGAGTTTGCACAGGAAGATAGAAGGGCATGGTAAGTGTGGGGGGAGGGCCTAGGTGGCCCCAAGATGCCCCTCAACAGCATGTTCTCCTTGCAGGAACAGGAAGCCACCTGCCACCATGAGCAGCACTCTGTCGCCCACAGACTTTGACAGCTTGGAGATCCAGGGCCAGTACAGTGACATCAATAACCGCTGGGACCTGCCTGACTCAGATTGGGACAATGACAGCAGCTCAGCCCGCTTGTTTGAGAGGTCTCGCATTAAGGCCTTGGCAGGTGAGGTCGGGGTGATGCTGGAGAAAGCTTCATAGCTTGTTGTAAAGAGTCCTTTAACTTTATGGGTGGACTAACTTTCTAAGCTGCTACAGCAAAGGACACAACACAGGATACCTAGAGTCCTTGGTCCCCAAATCCTGCTTCAGGAACAAAATTCATGCAAACCAAAACATTCCCGTTTTCCTTCCCAACCGTGGAGAACTGTGCTAACCCCTGGACTTGCTTAGCTAACTAAGACAGTTTCTCTTCCCTGCCTTTGGCCTGAGTCATGTCCTCTCATTCATTTACATGCTGGCTCTTGCTGTCACTTCTGTCTCCACCCACCTCTCCCTTACCTTTCTTCCCCTTGCTGTGTCCTTCCTGCATTGCTACTGTCATTTCCCAGAGCTGTTAACCCTCCCAGTGCATTATCCTGTCCGCTCCCTCCCCACCTCTTTCTTCCACCTGCTGCCTGTTTCTCCCCTTATTTTATCTACCTGTTCCCTGAAGCAGGTTCCCTCCACCCTCCGCTGGTTTCCACTGTCGCCAGTTCTCCCAGGTTTACTCCCAGCCAGCCTTGGCCCCTGCCCTCCCCTATGGCCAGGGCTCTCCCCTTAGGTTTTTCTGAGCACAAACAAACCCGTTTGACGGGCCTCCCTGCCCTCCCTACATCGGGGGAGGAGTCGTTATGGCAACAAGAGTGTGGCTGCCACCTGACACCATCAGAGGCTGGCGTGGGGCTGAGTCACCCACACACCCCAAGGCCACCCACCCTGTCTGACTTCCCACCTCCATCCCACCCCTGCCATTGCCACTGACCTGCCAGCTGCTCAGACTAATCCAGGGTGAGAGGTCGCAACTACTATTGCCAGAGAGGTGGTGCTCCCGGTGGAGGTGGGGGTAGCCTCTGGGAGAGAGACTCTGAGCAGGAAGTTTCTAAACTTGGCCACATGTTTTACAGGATTACCCAGGAACAGTTTTTTTTTTTTTTTTTTTTTTTTTTGACAATTCATTAACCATAAATTATGTACATATATATCAATGTATAAATGTAAAAAATTTTAATTGGAGATGATCAAATGTCTTTTGAGTAAAGTATCTGTTGTTGAGTTGCTGGATGATGAATTAACACCAAATGATCTGGGGCCAGTCTATGGCCTGGTGGCTAAGGTAACTGGATCCCACATAGACTACCACATAGTTTGAGTCCAGGACCTCACAATTTGAGAAACGTCTAGCCACATGTGTGCATGCCCAAAATCACAAAAGGAAGGAGAAATAGAGGATTTGCAGCATGATCATTTCTATAGGGGATGCTTTCTCACTTTCTCTCTCTTCGTGGCTTTCTCTCTGTATTTCTCTCCAGCGTGCTCACGTACCTTCTAAAGTATTCCCCCGGAACATGTTTTTTTTTTTTTTTTTTTTTTTTTTCACAAATACAGGTTCCCTCCCTCGACACAGCAAATATAGAATCTTTGGACATATGGTCTAGAACGCAGGATTTTAAAAAAGCTCTGCAATTAGTTCTTTTCAGCCTCAGCCAGGTTTTTAATCAATGTGAGGACCCACATGTGGCTGCCATAGTTTCTGGGATCCCTTATCATTTTCTCCTGGGCCTCTCTGACCTGCTTGGGTCTTCAGGGTGCCTTGCGAAATACTCATATCAGTGCTTCGATAGATTAGAGAAGACAGGAGATGTGACTTACAGAAAATGTCACCTCTTTGGGGAACATTTCCCTGGTACTCTGGTTTTGGATTCATGTAGCCTCTAGAATTGTCATGATGTCCATGTGTATACATGTGCCACCAAATTATTGTCATGTCCACGCATGTTACCTACCAGCCAGGACTGTCCCTGTGTCTGTGCACATGACACATGATGCTGAATATTATCAGGCCTATGAACACTACACATGCCACCCAGGGCTGTTGTCCCCATGTCTGTGTCCACATGACACACATCACCCAGAACAGTATATCCATGCATATGAGAAGTGCCACCCAGGACCATAACTAAGTCTGTGCACATGACGTGTGCCACTCAGGACGGTCGCCATGTTTGTGCACAAACATGTACCCCCCTGTGATCTGGTTTATGTCCCTGGTCTTTCCTGAAGAGGCATCTCTGCATGGCCTTTGCCCACAACAGAGAATGCCTCACACCAGTAGATGCCAAATAAATACTAAATGAATGAAGATGAGGGAGGGGCATGTGTAGGCTGCAAATGACAAAAACTGAAAGACTTAAGAAGGGAATTTGCTGGATGTTCCCAGCCATGGGTCTGTATGTGATTGCAGGGCTGAGGAGTTCCCTGTGGGCCCAGAGGCAGGTGAAGGGCTGGTGCTAGAGGTGAGGATAAAAATAAGTGGAGGAGGGGGCAGAAGGTGGCATAAATGGTTAGGCCGCTGGACTCCCACATGGCTGACCAAGGTTGGAGTCCCAAACCCAGTGGCTTGAAACACACTGGGAGCATGCGCGTGACTTCTCACTTTCTTTCCCTCTGTCTCTCTATGTCTCCAGGGAGTGCATGGATCCTATAGCAAAAGTCTCTCTAAAACAAAAATAAGGGAGTAACAATACCTATTTCACGAAAGTAAACGCCTAGCACAGTGCCTGTCTTTTCCTTTTCGAGGATCTCCTCTTCCTTTCCAGGTTTCCCTTTCTCTGCTTTGTGAGCTAAGGCCAAGCTGGGTCAAGAGAGGGGTCTCCTCAGAGTCACCCTGAGAAGGGCATCTTCGCTGCCCCTGCAAACCTTGGGGAAGCAGGAGTTTGCAGTGAAAGCCGGTCTCACGCCCGGTCTTCGGGATTCTTAGGCAACTAGGGGCCTGGTGGGCCGGTCTCTAAGGCGCTGGCAGTTCGTTCCTCCGCCCCCGCAGGGCCTGGCCCTGCTCAAGCCGGCCGAGCTCCGCCTCCCACCCCTCCTCCGCCACTGTTCGACCTGTTTGTCTGGAGCTGCCTCTGTCTCCTCTCGGCACGGCCAGGTGTGCCCCGCATACTCGTCTCGGGAGCTTAAACATCCCATAACTTTTGTTCCCTCCGCTTCTTGAAACTCCCTCCATTCTTGAATTCCCCTGTCCGGAACCTCAGCCTCACGGGACGCGGGCAGAGGCTCCAGTGGGGAACAGAAACGTGCCGCCCGCCCAGCGCCAGGAGAGCATGGACTCTGGGCCACGAACCCTGTAGGCGGCAGCAAGCATCATGAATGGGAACGGCGTGAGCAGGGTGCTTGGGAATGGCCTGCACGGGGCTGGCGAGTTTTACTATGAGGCTTTGGAAGGGTCTCAGAACCCCGGGGGCCTCCTCCTCTCACCAGCTGCCTTCATCAACCCTGCTCAGTACGCCAGCGTGCTGGAAGGACGCTTCAAACAGCTGCAAGGTGAGCTCCCGGAGAGGGGAGCTTTCTGGGGGTAGCAGACGCGTGGGGAGAGCGCCGGCAGAACAAGACCCCTAAGCGGATACAGCGCGATGACGCTTAGAGGGAATAATTGCAAGCGGCCACAAAGAGTACAGGGGATGCTGGGGTTGGGTGGGCGGTTCTTAAAGGTTCGGAGCTCTTGGAAGGGGCCATGTAGGGGGCGGAGGAAACTGAGCAGGTGTGATTGGGAGGCCCCCTGCTGGGTAAGCATGGAGGGATCTGGTGGGGCTTGAAGGGATCCAGTGGGTCCTGAGGAAGTAGTGTCGGTGTCAGCAGGTAGAGGCCTTAGAATCTCAGCCGGGGTGTTCACTCTGGTGGGTTTGGTGGTGAGTGTCTGCAAGGATAATTAGGGAGTGAGCCTGACGCCAGAGACCTGAAGCTTGTGCTTCCCTGGGCTCCTGAGTGGGTGCCTAAGTGTGCGTGAGGAGGAAGCAATGTGTGTAGAAACTGAGGAGAGTGCGTCAATAGAGTTTGTGCAGTCTCAGGTAGATGTCTAGGCAAGCATGCGCTCATCCTGACACAGATATTTAAATGTAGTTCTTGCCGTCTGTGTTTATGGGGTGTGTGTATAAGGATCTAGTGATGCCATAGTATCTCTGAACGTCTACTGCTTGGCTTTGCCCATTTTTCTCCTAGCTGCCACTAGATCCACCTCTTCCTTTATTCTATGCCAAAATGGCCTCACCCCAGTGTGCCTGATATCAGGGCAGTCCCCTGGGATCCAGTAATGGTTGATGGTCTGGGCAATCCCCGGCCAGGCAGGCCTGTAGACCCTGAAGGGAGGTCCAGAGGCACCTTGGTTCCACAGGTGCTTCAGAGCATGGAGCCATCCTAGCACTTATTAGGACCCCAGGTCTGGCACAGGTACAGGGGCTGGCGGTAAGAAGACAGGAATAGACATGGGTGTGTTGATGTTTTATGGGTGAGGTGCGTAGGAATGTGAGATTAAGGGATGAGTCTTTTAGGTTTCTGAGATGCTGGGGCTGAGGTGGAAACAAAAGTGACTCTTCAGGCCAAAGCCACTTGGATTGGGTCCTTGCACTGGGCTCTGTGTGGGGAACTGGCAGGAATCCTGGCCATAGCAGCTTCCAAGCCTGAGCTTCTTCCTTCACTTTATCATTTATAAAGTTTTTCATTTCTATTTTTCTATGGAACCTACCAGCACCTCCCCATCAGAAGCCACTGTCACACAGCAGGGCATTTCCTGACTCTTTTGAAATTGGCCCCTAACTTGGCCTGGCTTTTTTTATTCTCCCATGTTTCCTAGGCTCTGTTTTCCCAGTTCCCAACATGCAAGATCTTGTTTTCTTTCTTTCTTTCTTTCTTTCTCTTTCTTTCTTTCTTTCTTGGTTTCTTTCTTTCTTTCTTTCTTTCTTTCTTTTTTTCTTTCTTTCTTTCTTTCTTTCTTTCTTTCTTTCCTAACTTGGCCTGGCTTTTTTTATTCTCCCATGTTTCCTAGGCTCTGTTTTCCCAGTTCCCAACATGCAAGATCTTGTTTTCTTTCTTTCTTTCTTTCTTTCTTTTTTTTTTTTGAGGGGAGGGGGAGAGGTTTTTGCTATAGGGCGCGTGTGCTCGCCAGACAGACAGAGAGAGACAGAGAGACAGAAAGCGAGAAATCACCCCCCAGGGGGGATGGCCATGCCACAATCCCTTCTCCTCCATTCTCCTCTTGGAATCTTGGGCACGCACGCACACGCGCCCGGCGTGAGTTTAAGCCACTGGGTCCGGGACTCAAACTGCAGTCGACTACGTGGGAGTCCAGCGACATAGCCGTTACGCTAACTGCTGGTCCCTTGTTTTCTTTCTTAACATTGAGATGTTTGTGCCTAGCACCAGATCCCTTTGCAGTCACCCCAGAAGCAGAGTGGCCTGTCTCTTCTGTAGGACAGTAAGCTGACTCAGGAGGCCTACAGCCTCTATCCTCTCAAGTCCTTCTAATGATTGCTTATAAGATCCGCTGTTGTAATTTAGGTCCACACCCTTTCCTTTGTCCACAACTAAGAGAGAACAGCCATCCCTCCTACTTGTCCTGACCAACGTCTGGTCCTTGCCAATCTCGTCCGGTTAGAGCACACCTTTATAACTGTAACTCATCAAGGAGTCATTTTGTGCCCAGGACCAGCTAGGTGTTTTAGACACATCATCTCATTTAATCAATACAGTGAGTCATCGAAGTAGAAAGTAATATGCCCATTTTACAGATGAAGAAATTGAGGCTCTGGCGGATGAAGTAACTTGCCCAATGTTTTACCATCACATGAGCTCTGATCCCAACCCTTCCCTGCATGTCTCACAGCTTCCAATTTCTTTTATCCTTTCTTCTCAAAGATTGTTTTCTGTCTGTCATTTTTGTTTTTAACCTTGCTTATGAGCTCATTCCAGTTTATTTCCCAGCTTTTTAAATTATGGAGTTTCCTCTGGGCCATCTTCCTTCTCTTCCTCCTCCCCCTAGACCTCAGGCACCTCCCCACCCTCCACCCCACCCACTGGTACCTAGAAGCAGATATACTGTGTTCGAAGGACAGAAATGACCTCATGTTGCTGTCACAGATGAGCGAGAAGCCGTGCAAAAGAAAACCTTCACCAAATGGGTGAACTCACACCTGGCCCGGGTGACATGCCGGGTGGGAGACCTGTACAGTGACCTCCGGGATGGACGCAACCTCCTGAGACTTCTTGAAGTGCTCTCGGGAGAGACACTGGTGAGCTTTGGTCACAGAGGGAGAAGGGGGTCCCAGAGATAGTGGCCAAGAGGACAGAGTGAAAAGGAGCAGCCCCCTCTGTTCAGAGGACAGTTTCATTTCGAGAGGCTTCGCTGCATGGGTTACACAGGACCATTGCCTTGTGGAGACAGAAACAGTGGCCCCATTGAAAACAGTTCTTTTCCTACCCACTCTGGGTGCATTTAATTCCCTTGGGAATCTTAATCTGCCCAAGCCTCATCTGTCACCTCAGCTTTGGCTCCATGAACTTTGGCCCAACCCTGGGGCTGTCCCTGTGTTCCTGAGGGAGGCCCAGGGATGGTGTGCAAAGTAGGGCCTGGGGAAGGCTGAGTTGGAAGGAGAAGACTCACAGTCCTATGCCATTGTGTCCCCTGCCTCTCAACAGCCAAAGCCCACAAAGGGTCGCATGCGGATCCACTGCCTAGAGAACGTGGACAAGGCGCTGCAGTTCCTGAAAGAACAAAAAGTGCATTTGGAAAATATGGGCTCCCACGACATTGTGGACGGAAACCACCGCCTGACCCTTGGGCTGGTCTGGACCATCATCCTTCGGTTCCAGGTACCTCAGCAGTATTATTGGGGTGTGGTCCATGCACAGGTTCTGTGCTGCTAACTAGTCCTGCTGGTCTATGCACAGTAAATTTTAAAAATGGAGAGTCTAGAACCTGGTGCAGCAGTTTGCCATTGCAGCCATATACAAGCACCAGATCAGTGGACTCTCCTATTAACCAGGGTGGAGACCAGTTTGGGTGTTATCAAACTCCCATGGCAAGTTCCTCATGGCTGGGGCTATGTACCTGTCACATGCAGTAGGACCACAGATTGGTTCACAAGGAACTGGAAGGTTTTTTGTTTTTGTTTTTTTTACTTTTATCTACATTTATTTTATGCTGACTTTATTCCTGTGCCATAAGTTTTTGTTTCTTCAGTTTCTTCTGGGATATCTTTTTCTTCCATGCAACTTCCTCTTCCGGTTTAGGAACAATTTGCTCCTTTTCAGTGAGGATCATTTCGATGTGGCAGGGGGAGCTCATGTATGGGTTAATCCGCCCATGAGCTCTGTACATACGACAGCGCATCTTTGGTGCCTTGTTCACCTGAATGTGCTCAATGACCAGAGAATCTACATCTAACCCCTTAAGTTCAGCATTACTCTCTGCATTTTTAAGCATGTGTAGCAAAAATTTGGCACTCTTTTTGGGCTGCCGACCTTGTGTCCAGCCCCACTGTTTAACCTGGGCACATCTACCAACTCCACCATTGTAACGACGGAATGGCACACACTGCTTCTGTAAAGTGACATCCTTCAGATACTTGGTGGCTTTTCGGATATGCATACCCTTGATGGCCTGGGCAGTTTCACAAGTGTTCTTAAAGTGAACATGAAGATTTGAACCTCTTGGTTTGCATGACTTTGTGGGGTTCTCTGGGTCAAGTGAATAGCGAACCATTTTCAAAGATCACTTCAGGCCACTAACGAGAAGAGCAAGGAACTGTAAGTTTTACAAACTGGTCCTTCCCCATAGAGAGTTTGAGAACTGCATGATGAGTCAGTCACTGGCCCTGCTTCTGTGCCTTAAGCTCTGCTTGCCTCTCTCAAAAGCAGTCCACTCTATTCCTCCTTATACTCCAATGTCTTAATGTCATCACAACTTTCTAGTTCATACCTTCCTCTCAGGGGTGACCTCTCTGCTCTTTCCAGCCCTAAGCGGAGCTCAGTCAACTTCACCTTTGAAAGCCAGCTCTCAGAAAACTTGGACTCCTCTGGCTATAGCTCCCCAGCTGGAAGAACTAGCACCCTCCACCCAAAGGCATTTCCATCCTTCTAACATCCTCCCCCATTCTGCTGCCTCAAATTCCTCAGTCCTCAAAACCCAGGTTGAAGGGTCCATAGGCTCTGTCCCTACACCCCTGCAGCTGCAGTCTGAAAGGTTTCCTGCCATTTATCTCTGAGTTTCTCTGATAATACCAAGAACCTCTGCCCAAGGAGTGAGGGCCCTGCTTGCTTTCTTCCTAGATCCAAGACATCAGTGTGGAGACAGAAGACAACAAGGAGAAAAAGTCAGCCAAGGACGCCCTGCTGCTGTGGTGCCAGATGAAGACTGCGGGGTGAGATGCCCAGAGAGTGGGATAGTAGAGGGCTGGCTGCAGTACATGGCTGCCCACAAGCTGGGCACCATCCTTGAGTGACAGACGAGGGCTCGGCCCTGCTCACCGCCTTACCTGGGCTCTGTTTATAGGTATCCCAATGTCAATGTGCACAACTTCACCACCAGCTGGAGAGATGGACTGGCCTTCAATGCCATTGTGCATAAACACCGGTGAGAAGATGGGGTAACAAGCATGCTAGGGACGTCAGATCAGTTAATGCCCCAGGACACACGCATGAAGATAAAGAGATGAGATAAGCTACATGGCTCTGAGGAATGAATGTTCACAGAAAGGAACTGGAATGTGGGGGCGCAGGATGGCACATTAACCCCTCATTAAGAGAGGTTGTGATGGAAGCAAGGGGATGGTTCTGGGTGAGGGTGAGAACAGTGGATGTGGGTCTGGGTTCTCTACTTCTGAACAATATTGAGTCAGTGACTTAGGGATGAAGATTGGAGTGGATTTACTTTTCCTCTTTAGGATCTCATGTGTTTTTCATACCTTTTATCTCCTCTCCTCACCCAGGCCAGACCTACTGGATTTTGAGTCCCTAAAGAAGTGCAATGCACACTACAACCTGCAAAATGCTTTCAATCTGGCTGAAAAGGAGCTGGGGCTCACCAAGCTGCTGGATCCTGAAGGTGGGAGCAGAGCTATGTAAAAACAGAGCGACAGAAGGAAGACTATTGGTTGCCAGGGGCTGAGGGGGAGGGGAGATTGGGAGTAACTGCCAATGTGTACAGGTTTCTTCTGAAGAGTAAAGGGAATGTTCTAGATTTAGATAGAGGTGATGATTGCATAACTTCATGAACATACTGAAAACCACAAAATTGTATACATTAAAAGGGTGAATTTGTAGGACTAGCAGATGGTGTAATGGTTACTTTACTGGACTTCCCCATGGCTGACCATAGTTTGCGTCCCATACCCGGCAACTTGAAATTCACACCAGGCATGTGTGTGTGCATGCCCAAATCCTGGAGGAGAAGGGATTGCAGCATGGCCATCCCCCCCGAGGGTGATTTCTCACTTACTTTCTTTCTGTCTCTCTTCTGGCAAGTGCACATACCCTCTAGCAAAAATTTCTCTCTTAAAAAAAAAAAAAATCTATAGGACGAAAGCAATTCTGTTGCTGAGAGCCCTGGGCCACGAGTTCTGTCCCAGTCTTGAGGCAAAGTAGCTCTGTGGCTTACAGCTCATCACCTAGCCTCTCTGTGACTCAGCTTCATCTCTAAAGTGGGAGGATTGGTCTATGTAGTCTCTAAGACCCCTTCTTATTCTAAAATTATAGGGTTCAAAATTAAGCTAATCAGGGCTGGCAGGTAGCCTAGGTGGTTAAGGTGCAGACCAACTGCAGTTTAAGTCCCAGACCCAATAGTTTGTCTCTCTCTGGTCAAATTAAAATTAATTAATTAATTAAATTAAATAATTCTTTGGGGGAAAAAAAAAAAGTTCATGACCTTGAGGTCGCACCAAGAACTGGCCTGTGGCCAGCTGACCCTACCGACTGGCTCTCGGAGTTCTGATTGTAGTGCCTATGAGATCAGTAAGAAGTGATAGCCATTGAGCTATTATTTTGTACCTGGCATCACAGTTGGTATGCTTTAATTAAATACTCACAGCATATTTGAAAATAGTATCAATATTATCCTCAATTTATGGAAGAGAAGACTTGGCCTGTAAAGGTTGAATGACTTGCCCTAAGCTATCCATCTGGAGGAAATGAGATTTAAATTCAGGCAGACTGACTCCAGAGACTCAGCTATCTCTCTGGCAAAACAGAGATCATTCTTGGTGCAGCCAGAACAGAGGAAGAGAGAAGGGTCAAGTGACTACCCTGCTGGAAGCCCTCCTTTTTAAGCTCCCTGGAGGGTTGTTGATCTTGTTCATTTGCTTCCTGTTTTTCTACCCTACCTGCTACCCCATCTCCTATGTCCTCTTAGTCCAGAATGACAAACCTCAACTAATTAGTGGTGGAAGTAGTCTAAATACAGTGTTGCTTGGTGAGCTTTTGGGAAGCATGGCTCTAATATAAAATACTGAAGTAACGCTAAGTATTCTAGAACTTCCTGAGGTGACTTCAAAGGCTCCTGCCTCTGTGTTTTCAGAGGTAGTCTCGTAGTTTTACCTTTAGGTAGGATAAAATATGGCCTCATTAAGAGTTGGGATTTTTGGGGCCAGTAGGTGGCATGGTGCTTAAGGCACTGGATTTCCACACGGCTGACTGCAGTGAGAGTCCTGGACCTGGTGGCTTGCTTTCTCATTTTCTCTCTCTGTCTGTCTGTCTGTTCAAAACTAAAATTGATAATTAATAAATAAATAAGATTGAAAAAAAGAAGAAGAGCTGGGATTTCAAGTCATAGTCAGCCTTGGTCATGTGTTAGAAGCTGAATTGGCTTGAAAGACACTCACCTCCCTAGGCCCATGGCTGAGCTTTGGGATTGAGATTAGAAATGATCATGACCATGCCTCTAGGTGGTGCTGAGAGCTGGCCTCTGTCACTGCTATGCTGCCAGGGCTCACTGGGCCGGTCACTCAACACCCTAGGTTCAGGAGGTTTAGTTCGTACCTTCCATCCTGCTGCCCCTGAATCTCACTTCTTAGACATCTTTATAGCCTGTAAATCTGTAATCTATCCTCATATGCAAATATGATTTCATTTGTCTTTTTTTTTTTTGAGAGATTTTCACTGTAGGGCGCGTGCACTCGCCAGACAGACAGAGAGAGACATAGAGACAGAAAGCGAGAAATCATCCCCCAGGGGGGATGGTCACGCCGCAATCCCTTCTCCTCCATTCTCCTCTCAGGATCTTGGGCACGCACGTACACGCGCCCGGCATGAGTTTTAAGCCACCGGGTCCGGGACACAAACCACGGTCGACTACGTGGGATTCCAGTGACATAGCCATTACGCTAACTGCTGGTTCCCATTTGTTTTTTTTTTTTTAAGAATTATTTTTATTTAACTTTATTTATTATTATTTGTTTTAATTTGACCAGAGAAAGACAGAGAAAGAGAAAGTAAGAAAGCAAGCTGTCAGGTCCAAGACTCAAACCATGGTTAGTCATGTGGAAGTCCAGGATCTTTAACCACCACACCACCTGCTCACCACCCTCCCTTTTCTGTTTAGGTTTTTGTCATAAGGTATGTGCATTCACCAGAAAGAGAAATGAGAAGGGAAGTGAGACGGAAAGTGAGAAATCACCCCTAAGGGTGGATGGCCATGCCTCAATTCCTTCTCCTCTTGGGATGTTGGACATGCATGATTTTCAAGTCACTAGGCCCGGGTCTTGAACCACACTTGGTCATGTAGAGCCCAGTGCCTTAACCACCATGCCACCTGCTGGCCCCTCGAATGCTATTTCTTTTCTTGCTTTCCTTCCCTCAAGTTTTGGTCTCCACTCAGAACACTGGGTAAAAACCTTGAGCTTCAGGTGTTTGTACTCTGCTTGGAAAGCCTTCCAAGAGACACAGGGGAAAAGATTGAACTTCTTAGTGTCCTTTTCACTCAAATGGGTGAGTTGTCACTTTGCTATAAATGAATATGGAGAGGTGTAGGCCTTAGAGGACTAGAAAGGCGCCAGGCTTGGGATAAGTGATACAAATTGTAGGTGTATCTTGGGAGACAGGTTTCTACTCTCTGCCTGACTCAAGCAGTCTTTTTTCTCAGATGTGAATGTGGATCAACCGGACGAGAAGTCGATCATTACCTATGTGGCTACTTACTACCACTACTTCTCCAAGATGAAGGCCCTGGCTGTGGAAGGCAAAAGAATTGGCAAGGTACTCCCCACCACAGGACAGTAGGCATGAAGACCAGAGGAGGCCTAGTCCAGGGGTCAGGGACAGGGTGGAACTGCAGAACCAAGCCAGGGACCCTGTGAGCAGGACCCTCATGTGCCTGTCCCCTGTCTCATAGGTGCTAGACCACGCCATGGAGGCAGAGCGCCTGGTGGAGAAGTATGAGTCCCTGGCTTCAGAGCTGCTGCAATGGATCGAACAAATGATTGTGACCCTCAATGACCGGCAGCTGGCCAATTCCCTGAGCGGAGTACAGAACCAGCTGCAGTCCTTCAATTCCTATCGCACAGTGGAGAAACCGCCCAAGTAGGTGCCCCCTGGGCCCCAGCCTGCCAAGGCATGCCCATCCTGAACTGTGCTTCCACGAGAGGAAGCTTAAATTGGGGCAGCCTTTTGGGAGGGAAATTTGGCAGTACATAAATACCATAGCGGCTCATTCTCCCAACTCAAAGCACCAAAAGCATCGAAACAACGTAGCTGTTCCAAAATAATTCTGTTAAACAATCAGCCATTTTTAAAAATCATGCCGTGGAAATGATTGCTGTGCTGTGTCAAGTCGGTGTGTTCCATCAGATAGGATTACCAGTCAGGGTGTTGCAGCAGTTCAGTCCCTGTCTGGGGACAGGTGAGACTAGATCTGATAGGCAGGTCACAACCAGCAACACAGGGGGTGTGGCTGGTAACTCGAGCACTCTCGAGGTTCTAATCGTTTCTATATTTTAGCCATTAACTAATGGCAGCCTAGAATTGCCGTTAGGTGATTCTGTTCTGTTCATGATAAAATTTTTATGTTTTTTCTATCACCAAGTTCTTTTGGAATATATGTTGGCTCCAAAACTAATTAATCCAGAAAACAGTTGTTCCTATACATTCTAGGGAGTGATTTAAGGTGCACCTTTGGCTCAGAAAGTCCTCTTCTGGATATTAAACAAAGATGTAGCTTCAAGGCTATTCACCAACATGAGCTTTGTAAAAGAAAAATAAGTCACAGAACTACCAATGAAAATCATTGTAGAAATGTGTTTATCGACATGAAAAATTGGTGAAGAAACAGGCTACAAGAGTTCTATGGGTCTAGCTGTGGTGGCACAAGTGAAAGGGCACTGCTGCATGATGGTGAGAGCATATGGGAGCCCTGAGTTCATTTCCCAGCCCAACCTGAACAGACTTTGTACCTGTGGTCCTAGCTAGCTGGGAGCCTGGGGAAGGAAGAACTGACCCTGTCAGAAATACCCATCTCTCCCTTCTTTTCCCTCCTATTCTCTCTCTCTCTCTTCCTCTAAAAAGAGAGAGAAAGATGTTTTTGTTTGTTTGTTTGTTTTTTATGTGGAGACAAAGAACAAAACACTAAACACTCTGGATTTCAAATTCAGCTCTGTGCTTAGGGATTATGAATGTTAGGCAACTTGTTGAGCCTCGCTGTGTCTCCTTTTTCCCATCTGGAAAATGGGAGTAATGAGAGATTGTAGATACCAATGAGAAGTATATGAGGTAATAAAGTCTGAGTGCTGGCCTGACTCATGGTAGGTGAGACCTTAAGAGATGTTACATGGTTACATTGTGACCTTATCTGTATAAAACAAGAAACAAATGTGCACATATAAAAGTTATCAGTTGTTGGGACCAGCAGTTGGTGTAATGGCTATGTCATTGGACTCCCACGTAGTCAACCATGGTTCAAGTCCTGGACCCGGTGCCTTAAACTCACACTGGGCGCATGTGCGTGCTTACCCAAGATCCTGAGAGGAGAATAGAGGCAAAGTGATTGCAGCGTGGCCATCCCCCTTGGGAAGGTGATTTCTCGCTTTCTGTCTCTCTGTCTCTGTCTTTCTGGTGAGTGCATGCCCCCTATAGCAAAAACCTCTCCAAAAAAAAAAAAAAAAGTTATCAGTTGTTCTCTCTGTATGGTGTTTAGTTGGAGTTTTTGTTTTGTTTTATTTGGGTTTAGTTTTTGCTATAAGGGTGCATGCACCCACTTGGAAAGAGACAGGCAGACAGACAGAGAGAGAGAGAGAGAGAGAGAGAGAGAAAGAAAGTACCATCCAGGGGGCATGACTATGCTGCAATTCCTTCTCCATTCTCCTCTCAGGATTTTTGGGCACATATGTACATACACCTGGTGTGTCTTTCAAGCTTCCTGATCTGGACTAGAACCTTGAAGTCAACCATGTGGGTTCCAGCTGCCTTAACTACCATGCCACCTGTTGGTCCAGTGTTCGGGTTTTAAAATGATGTTTTTTTTGGTTTGCCAGTGTTTTCTGGCTTTCACACAAAGAGTTTGTGTTGCCTTTACACAAAGAAAAGCAATGTGGGACACTTCATTTTAAAGAGTGAAGGTGCCCCTTGTGACCTTTCACTCTGACCTCAAACTGGCCTCCTACCTCAGGTTCACTGAGAAGGGGAACTTGGAAGTGCTACTCTTCACCATCCAGAGCAAGCTACGGGCCAACAATCAGAAAGTCTACACACCCCGCGAGGGCCGGCTCATCTCCGACATCAACAAGGTCAACACATCCCTCTCTGTTCCACAGATGTCCTTTGAGGCATCCCCTGGCCAACATGCCTTTGACATATGATCAAACCAAGGCCATCTTGACCTCCACTAAGCCCTCCTCCCTACCACTCGAACCCTTTCCAGCTGCCCACACTACCCTGTCCCACCAGATGGGACTCTTGTGTTCTTTCAACACTGCACCCCCTTTCTCCTCAGTCTGATACTCCACCTGGGGTCACATAACAAAATTGTACCCCACGTCCCTTATCTTGTTCAACAAGTCCCCAGCTTACTAACCTGACTTTAATTTTTTTCACAATGTTATTAATAAAAGTAAAAATAAGGGTCACCCATAGTCCAACACCACAAACAAATCAGTTTCCATTGTTTAGAAGCACACATCATTTTATTTTTTAATTTGCCTGAGGGTGCATGTGCTCACTAGAGAGAGAGACAGACAGAGAGAGACAGGGAGAAAATGAGAAAGCATCCCTTCATAGAGTATAGTCATGCACAACCTCTTTTCCTCCATTTTTCCCTTTCAGGATTTTGGGCATGCATACACAAGGCATGTTTTTTCAAGCCACTAAATTTAGGGCTAGAACCACACTGATAGCCTTGTGGGATCCAGCCACCTTAACCACCACATACCAGCTGTCCCATCACACATTCTCTACATGGCTTCATAGCACTCCAAGCGCCAACTCTGTTTCTCAGACTAATATACACGTTGTGGCGTTTCTGTGGCCGCAGCTTCTGTGGAACTTATCATGTACCCCTAGCCCTGTGACCTCCCCCCACCACCACCCAGGCCCTTCCACACTAACCCTGTGCCCACTGCGCAGGCTTGGGAGCGGCTTGAGAAAGCCGAGCATGAGCGTGAGCTGGCCCTGCGCACGGAGCTGATCCGCCAGGAGAAGCTGGAGCAGCTGGCAGCCCGCTTCGACCGCAAGGCCGCCATGCGGGAGACCTGGCTCAGCGAGAACCAGCGCCTGGTGTCCCAGGTGGGATGGGGTCTCTTGGGACATTCGGGCTTGTCAGGAGAAATGAAAGAAACACTGGTGGATAAGGAGCCCCACAGGGTGGGGAGGTGATGAAACACAAATTCTATCATGCAGGGAACAAGACCAAGCTAGCCAGGAGCTGGGGCCAGAGGCTTGAACAGAAGAAAGGGTCAGTCAGATGGATCAGGATGTGATAGCGGGGAAATGTAGAATCACCTCATGGAGTTGGCGTCCCACAGCTGAAGCGCTTGGCAGGACGTACGGGCTGAGCAGAGGCCCTGACCCTTGGTTCCCAAGCCTTCCCCTGTGCCCCTGCCATAGGACAACTTTGGGCTGGAGTTGGCAGCGGTCGAAGCAGCAGTGCGAAAGCACGAAGCCATTGAGACAGACATCGTGGCCTACAGTGGCCGGGTACAGGCAGTGGATGCCGTGGCAGCGGAGCTGGCTGCTGAGCACTACCATGACATTAAGCGCATCGCAGCGCGGCAGCACAACGTGGCAAGGCTCTGGGACTTCTTACGCCAAATGGTGGCTGCCCGGCGGGGGGGGCTACTCCTTAACCTGGAGCTGCAAAAGGTGCTTCAGGACCTGCTCTACCTCATGGACTGGATGGAGGAGATGAAGGTACCGGGGGACACTCTGGGTAGGGTCAGATGGTCAGGAGTTGTGGGGGTACGACAACTCATGTGTTCGCTCATTTGCTCCACAGATCTCTGTAGGGCATATACTGGGACAGGGCCCTGCTCCAGTTCCGATGAACAGGACAGATGGGCTCCTGTCTGCACTGGGCTCATATTCTAATGGGAGAAGACTGATGATAAAACTCATGGATCTATTCATAAATAAAATAAAGAGCGTTCATAAAGCCCACAAGGAGAGTAGAACAGGATGATGGGGTGACTGCAAGGCCTCTCAGAAAATTAAGCTAAGACCTGAATAATGTAAGAAGTCAGACTGAGGAAATAGTGTTCCAGGCAGAAGGTACAGCTAGGCAAAAGCCCTAGGACTATAAAATATGGCCTGTTTGGGATCAGAAGGAAGGCCAGTGGGCTATAAGGATGAGGAGAGGGCCCTATGGAAGGAGGTAAGGGAGGGTGTGGTCAGGTCACTTATGGCCTTACAAGCCTGGTCAAGGAGTTTTCATTTTATAGAAACATGGTACAACTGAAGTGATTAGAAGGTGTTGAGAAGGGGAAAGACATGATTCTGCCTAGTCCTTTTTTATTTATTATTTTTATTAGATTTTTGCTGTAGGGCATATACATAAACCAGAGAGACAGAAAGGGAGAAATCACCCCCCAGGGGAAATGGCCACACCGCAGTCCCTTCTCCTCCATTCTCCTCTCAGGATTTTGGGCATCCATGCATATGCACAAGGTGTGAATTTTAAGCCGCTGGGTCTTGGACTTAAACCGCAGTTGACTACATGGGAGGCCACTGACATAACCATTACACCATCTGCTGGTCCCCTGCCTGATCCTTTTTAAAAGGTCCCTTTGGCTGGACCAGCAGGTGGCATGGTAGTTAAAGCATTGGACTCTCACAGGGCTGACCATGGTTAGAGTCCTGGACAAATCAGCTTGAAAATCAAATCATAAGAGGAGAATAGAAAAGGGCATGGCCATTCCCCTGGGGGGTCATTTCTCATTTTCCCTCTGTCTCTCTCTCTCTCTGTCTTCAGCAAGTGCACATACCCAATGGCAAAAACCTTAAAAAAAAAAAAAAAAGTTGCTTTGGCTACTGTGTGAGGAAGGCCTGTGCACGGCCAGAGTGGGAGCAGAGGGACCAATTCTCTAGGTGGGAGGTAGGCATAGGATGGATCTGGGAGAGATGCTGAAGTGTGCTGGGACACTGGAGGCAGAGCTCCAATGACAGGGAGGGTGTCAGTGATTTTGGGGGCTGAGAAGATGAGTCACAGTTAAGATCCCAGGTGCAGCATTTAGTAACCAAGTGCTGCATAGGAAGGGAGTTGAGGATAAGGAGGTGAGATGCCAGGACAGAACTGGGGTGTCCCTAGGCACATGCGTGCCTAGCTTGGAGGGAGCTGGGGCTGGGGGGGGGGAATGGCAGCTCTCAGATGAGTATGGACATGCCCCCTGTGCCTGGCAGAGCCAACTGCAGTCTCAGGACCTGGGCAAGCACTTGGCTGGAGTGGAGGACCTGCTGCAGCTGCATGAGCTGGTAGAAGCAGACATTGCCGTGCAGGCCGAGAGGGTGCGGGCTGTCAGTGCCTCTGCTCTGCGCTTCTGCGACCCAGGAAAAGGTGAAAATGGGAAGGCGCTGAAAAAGGGAGGGTCTGGGAAGGATAGTATTAAGAGTCGAAGGAGAAGACTAGGAAGACCTGGGGGCAAGAAAGATGAAGGGTGGGTGACATGTGACAGAGGTAGAGCAAGGGTGATGGATCCAACCAGGACTGGTGGATGACGGCTTTCCACCCCCTGCCATGACTTTTTCAGAGTACAGGCCCTGTGATCCGCAACTGGTTTCAGAGCGGGTGGCCACCCTGGAGCAGAGCTATGAGGCCCTGTGCAAATTGGCAGCGACTAGGAGAGCACGTCTGGAGGAGTCGCGGCGTCTCTGGCGTTTCCTCTGGGAAGTGGGAGAGACCGAGGCCTGGGTGCGGGAGCAGCAGCACCTCCTGGCCTCAGCCGAGACAGGCCGGGACTTGACTGGTGTTCTTCGCTTGCTCAACAAGCATACAGCCCTGCGGGGTGAGATGAGTGGCCGGCTGGGACCCCTGAAGCTCACCCTGGAGCAGGGCCAGCAATTGGTTGCCGAGGGTCACCCTGGGGCAAGCCAGGCCACTGCCCGCGCGGCTGAGCTCCAAGCACAGTGGGAGCGGCTAGAGGCACTGGCTGAGGAGCGTGCCCAGCGGCTCGCCCAAGCCGCCAGCCTCTACCAGTTCCAAGCAGATGCAAATGACATGGAAGCATGGTTGGTGGATGCACTGCGCCTGGTGTCCAGCCCTGAGCTGGGGCATGATGAGTTCTCTACACAAGCTCTGGCCAGGCAGCATCGGGCTCTGGAGGAGGAGATTCGGGGTCACCGGCCAACCCTAGATGCCTTGAAGGAACAGGCTATGGCCCTACCTCCTGCACTAAGCCACACACCCGAGGTACAAGGCAGGGTGCCCACCCTGGAGCAGCACTATGAGGAGCTGCAGGCCCGGGCGGGCGAGCGGGCACGGGCCCTGGAGGCAGCTCTGGCACTCTACACCATGCTCAGTGAGGCCGGGGCCTGCGGACTCTGGGTGGAGGAGAAGGAGCAGTGGCTCAACGGGCTGGCCCTGCCTGAGCGTCTTGAGGACCTGGAGGTTGTGCAGCAAAGGTAGGGCCCCGTAAGCTTTAGCGGTATTATGGGGCAGACCAGGTGATGGTGGGTCCTATCATAAACTATCCCCCTTGAATCTTTTTAAAAATTATTTCTTTAACTTTAATTATTATTATAATTTTTTTTCAATTTGACTAGATTGAGAGAGAGAAGGAAAGTGAAAAAGCAAGCCGCCAGGTCCGGGACTCGAACTGCAGTTAGCCCTATGAGAGTCCAGTGCCTTAACCACCACGCCACCTGCTGCCCCCCCCTTGAGGCTTAATAGTTAATCTAGTTTTAATAAAAAATGTGAAATGTACTCAAAAGTAGAGAACATTATACTACAAAACTCTATGTATTCATCAGTCAGATTCATTCATCATTGATATCTTCCTCTATTCGATTTGCCTCCCTTTTAAAAGGTAAATTCTCCAAATAAGAGGACTTCAAACAGTTTATAGAAAATGGAATTAAAGTATGAGTTTATTCTAGTGAAAAAAAATGTTGAGTGCTGGCCCCATGGCTTAGTGGTTAAGTGAGGTGTATTGCACCTGGCTGACCATACAGTTTGAGTCCTAGACCTAGCAGTTTGGACAATATGCAAGACATGTATGCCCAAAATTCTGACAGAATGGAGAAATGGAGGAGACGGGCTTGTGGCATGACCATATCACTGAGAGGTGCTTTCTCCTTCTCCCTCCTCTCTCTGTGTCTCTGACTGGCAAGCACACTCACCCTCTGGCAAATGGAAAAAAAAAAAAAATCGAAATGGATGCACTTTTTCATGATACACATTTTCCATAAGCTTTTTGCAGACCCCTTATGTCGTTTCACTCCTACATTTTTCAGGATGCACCCTGTAAGAAATATGAAGACACATTCTTACATGTGTATTTTTGCATTACGTGTGTAGACTCAAAATAGCTGATGCAGGGCCAGCAGGTGGCATGGTGGTTAAAGCACTGGATTCCTACATTGCTGACTGTGGTTAAAGTCCCAAACCTCGTGACTTAGAAATCATGCTCGGCGCATGTGTGCACATGCCCAAAATTTTGGGTGGAGCACAGAGGAGAAGGGATTGCAGCATGGCCATCCCTTCTGGGGAATGATTTCTCACTGTCCCTCTCTCTGTCTCTCTCCGGCAAGTGCATGCCCCTTATGGCAAAAAAAAAAAAAAAAAGAAAGAAAGAAAGAAAACTTGAAAGAAATTATCAATAAAAACATGCTGGGCATATGTGCATGCATGCCCAAAATCTTGAGAGGAGAATGGAGAAGAAGGGATTGCAGTGTGGCCATCTATCCTGGTGGGAGGTGAGGAGGCAATTTCTCACTTTCCCTCTCTCTGTCTCTCTCCAGAGAGTACACATGCCCTATGGTTTAAAAAAATAATAATAATTAAAATTTTAAAAATGAAGTTTTAAGATTACAAACCTTGGGGCTAACAGGTGGCGTGGTGGTTAAGGGTTCTGGGCTTCCACATGGCCAACCGCTGTTCAAGTCCCAGAACTGGCAGGTTGCCTTCTTACTTTCCCTGTCTCTTTCTCTCTCTTACTCTGTCCCTCTCGGGTCAAATTTAATTAATTAATTAATTAATTAAAAATTAAATAAAATAATTCTTTAAAAAAAAAGATTAGAAACCTTTTAGACAGAAACACTGAATACTATTTCACAAAATAGCTTTATTTACAAAATAATAAACCTTAAAATAACTGAGGACATTTTTCCTTTTTTTGGAGAGGTTTTTGCTATATGGTGTGTGTGATCACCAGAAAGACAGAGAGCCAGAAAGCAAGAAATCACCCCCCGCCACGGGGGATGGCCTCGCCACAATCCCTTCTCCTCCATTCTCCTCTAGGGATCTTGGGCATGCACACACACACACGCCCAGCGTGAGTTTAAGCCACCAGGTCCAGGACTCGAACCGCAGTCGACTACATAGGAGTCCAGCAACATAGCCATTACACCAACTGCTGGTCTCGAGGACATTTTTTCTTATAGAACCACAATACCAATATCACCTAGAACAAAATGATCAATTCCACACAAGTTTATCTACTATCAACTTATAATCAAATTTCCTGGGAGTTTAAAGGTATAATTAAAGGTTTTTAAGTTTTCAAGACATCTTATTGGACTAGACCCATGGCCTAGAAGTTAAGGGAGACAGATCCCTCATGACTGACTATGTGGTCTGAATCCTGGTGCTAGCAGCTTTAAAAATACACCACAAGCATGTGTTTGTGTGCCCCCAAATCCCGACAGGATAGAGAAGCAGAGAAGGGATTACGGCATGGCCATGTCCCATTGGGAAGTGCTTTTTCCCTTTCCCTCTCTCTGTTTCTCTCTGGCAAGGACCTGTGCCCTCTAGTGAGTAAGAATGAAAAAAAAAAATCCTACTAGCAGTATATTCATTGGGCCAATTGCAGCCTATTGTCTATTTTTTTTTTTTTTTTTGGAGAGATTTTCACTGTGGGGCGCGTGCACTCGCCAGACAGACAGAGACATAGAGACAGAAAGCGAGAAATCACCCCCCAGGGGGGATGGTCACGCCGCAATCCCTTCTCCTCCATTCTCCTCTCGGGATCTTGGGCACACACACACACACGCCCGGCGTGAGTTTTAAGCCACCGGGTCCGGGACACGAACCGCGGTCGACTACGTGGGAATCCAGCGACATAGCCATTACGCTAACTGCTGGTTCCCCCTATTGTCTATTTTTGTAAATAAAGTTTTGTTGGAATAGAGCCATGCTCATTTGTTTATGTATTGTCAGTGGTTGCCTTCACATAACAGCAGCAGAGTTAAATAGTTGTGGCAGAGACTGTGTGACTCACAAAGCCTGAAATATTTACTATCTGGCTCCTTACAGAAAGTGTGTGCTAACCCTACCCTATTAGAGTGTAAAATATCTCTGCGAGAAATCATACTTCACATCTTTATCACTTAGGCAGATATTTTTGGTTCTCATTTCTTTTTTAAACATATGTGAAGGAACTGCAAAAAAGTTCATGAAAGGCCAGCCCCATAGGGCAGTGGTTAAGTGCTATGCATGGCAAACCAGGTCCCACATGGCCAACTGCAATTCAAATCCCAGCCCAAGTGGCTTGAAAACATGCTGGATATGTGTGCATGAGTGCTCAAGATCCTGAGAGGATGGGAAAAAGGAGGAAGGCAAATTGTGGTGTGATCATGCCCCATTGGAGACTGCTTCCTCTGTCTTCCCCCTCTCCAATGAGTACACACATACACTGGTAAATTTTTTTTAAGTTGGTAGGAAAATAGAATTAAAGTGTGCATTTATTTTGGTGCAAAAATTTTTGAAATCCATGTACTTTCCATGAACTTTTGAAGACTCCGCATATTAATAGGCTGAGACCTAGATGGGAAGCCAAGGGGTAAGTCTCAGGAGGATAAGAGAGGTGCTGTTGAAAGGTAGAGCCCTAAGCCAAGATTTAGTTTGACTTGTACAGTTTTTCCTGACCTTTTAACTTTCACCATCTTTTTTTTTTTTTTTTTTTTTAATTTGCTAGGTTGTGCACTTGCTGGAGGGAGGGAGAGAGAGAGAGAGAGAGAGAGAGAGAAAAAGTGAGAAAGCACCCTCCCACTATGAGGGATGGTCATGCCACAATTCCTTCTCCTCTATCTCTCCCTCCTTTTGAAATTTGGGTGCACACAGATACACCTGGCATGTTTTTCAAGTCACCAGGTCCAGGACTCATACCACAGCCAACCATGTGGGATCTAGCCATTTTAACCACCACACTACTGGCTGGCTCAACTTCCACCATCTTTTTGAGCAGCTCTAGAGAAGACAGGTCTTCTACTTGTTTAGGGGAAATAGGGGCTCCTCCCTTCACTGGCAGATACTATGAACTTTGTAGGCTAAGAAGTGCTAAGACTGCTATTCATGAGCCTCATGTTAAAGGAGAAGATTTTCTCATGGGCGTCTCAGGCCTCCCACCACTCATACCCAACTCTTCCACCTCCTCAGGTTCGAGACCCTGGAGCCTGAAATGAATGCCTTGGCAGCACGAATTACTGCAGTGAATGACATTGCTGAGCAGTTGTTGAAACCCAACCCCCCGGGCAAGGACCGCATTGTCAACACCCAGAAGCAGCTCAATCACAGGTGGGCTTGGGAGAGCAGGCCTGGGTGACAGAGAAAGAATGAAGCAGATGGGAATGCAATTGGAAATGAGTGTTGTAGAGCCTGGAAATGTGGCTAAAAAAGGAGAAAGGAAGCCATTCTGGAATATGCTGGGGGTGGTGCAGAAATGATGAAAGAGATGAAAAGGGTTGAAAGTAGTCTGAAGAGGCTGGTGGATGGACTGGACAAAGAACAATCAAAAATAGGAGTCAGGGAGGATGAGTGGGGAACAGCCCCTATAAAAAAGCAGATGTGGGAGCTAGCAGGTGGCATGGAAGTTAAGAGAGCTGGATCCCACATGGCAACAGTGTGTGGTTCAAGTCCTCAACCCAGTGACTTGAAAAACACGCTGAACACATGTACATGTGTGCCCAAAATGCCGAGAGGAGAATGGAGAAGGGACTGTGGTGTGGCTATCTCCCCTGGGGGATGATTTCACACACTCTCTCTCTGTCTCTCTCCAGCAAGCACATGCACCCTACAGCAAACTTAAAAAAACGAAAGGCAGATGCAGGTGCATAGAATATACCAAGAGAAAGAAGCAGGGAAGAAGCTTTCAAATATACCTAGACAAGGCAGGAAAGCTGAGCAACTGTTAATGCCAGACCTTACCCCCTACTCTCAGGTGGCAGCAGTTTCGGTCCCTGGCAGATGGCAAGAAGGCAGCTCTGACCTCAGCCCTGAGCATCCAGAACTACCACCTAGAGTGCACAGAGACCCAGGCCTGGATGAGAGAAAAGACGAAGGTCATTGAGTCCACCCAGGGCCTGGGCAATGATCTGGCTGGTGTACTGGCCCTGCAGCGTAAGCTGGCCGGCACTGAGCGGGATCTGGAGGCCATCGCCGCCCGGGTAGGGGAACTGACTCGAGAAGCAAATGCCCTGGCTGCTGGCCACCCAGCCCAAGCCCCTGCCATCAACTCCCGGCTTGGAGAGGTGCAAGCTGGCTGGGAGGACCTTCGGGCCACCATGCGGCGTCGAGAGGAATCACTGGGTGAGGCACGGCGGCTGCAGGACTTCCTGCGTAGCTTGGATGACTTCCAGGCTTGGCTGGGCCGCACTCAGACCGCTGTGGCCTCTGAAGAAGGGCCAGCCACTCTGCCAGAGGCAGAGGCCCTCCTGGCCCAACATGCAGCCCTGCGGGGAGAGGTGGAGCGGGCCCAGAGCGAGTACAGCCGGCTGCGGGCCTTGGGCGAGGAGGTGACCCGGGACCAGGCTGATCCCCAGTGCCTCTTCCTGCGGCAGCGGCTAGAAGCCCTGGGAACCGGCTGGGAGGAGCTGGGCCGGATGTGGGAGAGCCGGCAAGGCCGCCTGGCCCAGGCCCATGGCTTCCAGGGATTCCTGCGGGATGCTCGGCAGGCTGAGGGTGTGCTCAGCAGCCAGGTGAGAGCCCAGGGGCAAAGTCCCTACCGGGAGGAAGTGGAAGATAGGGACCAGGGGGAAATGTGAAGTGTGGTGGATGGGGAGCAAAATACTGGTGGGTTGAGGAAGCAGGATGAGTAGGAAGGACATGTGAGAAAAATAAGACAATGAGAATGAGAAAAATAAGAAATAAGTATAACTCACCAGAACTGACTTTGGAAGAAGTGGAAAGCCTGGCTATTCATAAAGCTATTAAAGACCAAATCAGTAGCTAAAATAAGGTGAAACAGAATTTAGACAGGTGAAGTCCTCCAGCTCAGCTCTCTGGTAACTTTCTGAGACTCCATATCAGCAGGTACCCTCCACCTCTATCTTCAGAGCTATGCAAGCTACTCACCCTATCTCCAGTGGGCCCCTGTGTCTCAGATGTGGCAGGAGGTTCCTTCTGAGGTTTGGATTATGCTTTGAGAACTGAGAGCCATCTTACCCCTTCTACACAGGAATATGTCCTATCACATACGGAGATGCCAGGGACACTCCAGGCTGCTGATGCTGCCATAAAAAAACTGGAAGACTTCATGAGCACCATGGATGCCAGTGGGGAGCGAATCCGTGGGCTCTTGGAGGCTGGGCGCCAGCTGGTGTCTGAGGGCAATATCCATGCCGAGAAGATTCAAGAGAAGGCAGGCTCCATTGAGAGGAGGTATGAGAGAAATAGGAGCCCACGAGGGAGACAAGTGAAAGCAGATGGCCTCAGTGGTGGAGAATGTGGCACAGGCAGAACAACAGATGGGGGTGGGCGCCAACAAATAAGTAGAAGAAGAAGAGCCAGGTGGCTGGAGAGGGAGGGACTCAACCCTGAGCTAAAAGTTTCACCTCCCCACTAGGGCAAAATGAAGTCAAACTAAGCTAGCAGGCCTGGAAATCAGAATTCCTGAACGGTCTTGTGCTCCTAGAAGTATAGCCCCACAGTAGGAGGACTGATGGCTTCCAGGTTAGCTAAAGGGTCAGAACCCCTGCATAGCAAATTCAAGGGTTTCACAAGGGGCTGTCATTGCAGACACAAGAAGAATCAAGAAGCAGTGCAGCAGCTGTTGGGCCGTCTCCGGGACAACCGAGGGCAGCAGCATTTCTTACAAGATTGTCATGAGGTGAGGCTCTCAGTTTCCTGATGTCCCCCATGACGTTTTCTAGTCGTCCCTTTCCCACAATCCATGTCTCCCTCTTTGAGCCTAGAATAAGTGTACTACAGTGTTAGTAGAATGTGTGAGCTCCTTCATGGCTTCCTCCCAAGTCTACACTTCCTCTGGCTCACCCTCGCCCCCTTTTATGCCCCAATTCCCGCCTTCTGAAATATCCTCTGCTCTTCTGCATTC